GGTGGGGGGGGGGGGGGGGGGGGGGGGGGGAGGGGGGGTGGGTGTAACAAAGAGGTGGGCACGCCTCTGCGCCGCCTATAAAAATAAAATCATCACGTGGTTGCGTGGGTGGCATCAGGCGCCTCGCGAGCTCACCTGACCTACATCCGGTTGCCTGGCAGACGGCATTGCCAAATGTAAACAAATAGAAGAATTTCCAATTGAGCATCCGTCAATGCCCCTTCACTTTTCCGTTCAGTAATCGACTGCCCTGAAAGACAGTATTTTAGATTAGAAACAAGCTTTTAAAATCAGGCTGAGAACCGCTGATCTCATTATATGAAATCAATTCAAATAGTTAAAATTTGGCTTCAAACTTCATTTTGAACACATTTTTTGTATTTCACTATATAGTGTAGTGCTATATAGTGTAGTGCTATATAGTGTAGTGCTATATAGTGTAGTGCTATATAGTGTAGTGCTATATAGTGTAGTGCTATATAGTGTAGTGCTATATAGTGTAGTGCTATATAGTGTAGTGCGTACAAAAAGAAATTTAATGAACATTTAAAGGGTGAACTGAAAAAAAAAAGAAAAAGAAGATTCGACCAAATTTCTGTTCGATGAAATTTCCGTCGATCAAGTTACCGTCGACGAAATTTCTTTCGATCAAATTAATAATAATAATAAGAGGTCTTATATAGCGTGGTACCCCAGCCTAGGGCTGGGCTCACCGCGCTGTAAATTACCGGTAACTGTGATGGACATAACACAACACACTGAAATGGACATAACACAACACACTGAAATGGACATAACGCAACACACTGAAATGGACATAACACAACACATTGAAATGGACATAACACAACACACTGAAATGTACATAACACAACACACTGACATGGACATAACACAACACACTGAAATGGACATAACACAACACACTGAAATGGACATAACACAACACACTGAAATGGACATACCACAACACACTGAAATGGACATAACACAACACATTGAAATGGACATAACACAACACACTGACATGGACATAACACAACACACTGAAATGGACATAACACAACACACTGAAATGGACATAACACAACACATTGAAATGGACATAACACAATACACTGAAATGGACATAACACAACACACTGAAATGGACATAACACAACACACTGACATGGACATAACACAACACACTGAAATGGACATAACACAACACACTGAAATGGACATAGCACAACACACTGACATGGACATAACACAACACACTGAAATGGACATAACACAACACACTGAAATAGACATAACACAACACACTGAAATGGACATAACACAACACACTGAAATGGACATAACACAACACATTGAAATGGACATAACACAACACACTGAAATGGACATAACACAACACATTGAAATGGACATAACACAACACACTGAAATGTACATAACACAACACATTGCAAAGGACATAGCACAACACATTACAATGGACATAACACGTGAAAGGTGTTCTTGTTTGTTGTGGAACATTAGTTTGACATTGACAGTCTAGTCGGAGTCGAGAGGTGTACAAGACCCCGACTGTTGTGTCCGACTCACAACAGTCGTGGCCTTGACCTACTTGGCACATTATTGCATCATTTCTTAGAAAAAACACCCCACGGACCAAGCGTCCCCAACTCCATTTTAGGGCACGTCCATGAACAGAATCTCTTTTCTTCAGACGCCTGTTCCAGCCACCCCCTTATAAGGACAGCGCGATCTCGCCTCACTGCATTGATTTCGATATCATCATATATGGTCACAAGTCACAACAAGGCATTGTTGCCGTGGGACCTTTTGTCAGAACTTTTTCTTTTTTGGTCATTGGTCGTTAAGGGATTTGCAGCAACACCTGAGGGATGGGGGGGATTTGCCGCAACACCTGGGGGAGGGGGGGGGGAGGGGTAGAGTAACCCCCCCCCCCCTCCCGTGAACTGGTGTAGTTTCGATGTGTTTGCTGGGGTGCATCTCTATGTGGGGATTTATAAGATTTCTTATTATAAATAAAACCCTCCACGTGTGGGTACTTTATCGCCAGGGTAATCTGATATAATTTGAGACCACTTTACAGATAGTTTTTTTTTTTAGTTGCAAAAACATTTTTCAAAACACACAAATCGGTGCCTGCTATTGCAATTAACTATCTACTGGTGTGTGTATGTATTGAAAGGTAACTTTTCGAGTGTTTACCAATGTGTGTGTTGTCTAACTTGATAGTGTTTATCTCTTGATATTTGGCCCAGTTTTTTTCAACTAAAGATCTGAGTATAAAGATGACTCGTCTGTGTGCATATTTAAACCAATCAGATCCAAGGTCAATCCATGTATATAATATATCAGATCCAAGGTCAATCCATGTAACTAAAAAAAAACAAAAAAGAAGGGAAAAAATGAACATTTGAAAAAGCCCATTCCTGTAAACTTTCGAGACACTGACCATGAAATAGAACATTGACCTTGAAATAGAACATTGACCTTGAAATAAAACACTGACATTAAATAGTTGAATTAATAATTATTAAAGAAAATGGATCGGTCAGCTGTTGAATGTACACAAACACCTGATATATATAATGTATATTGTTATATAGAGCTTGTTTACATAATTTTTCTCGTGCGTGCCCTATGATTGACCCCGCATGAGACGCTGTGTTCACAGAGGGGTGTGGCTTAGTCCTTTGATCTATTCGTGTTTATGCCGCCAGCTACTAAAAATAATTAATC